GGAATCGAACCTGTGGCGAGGAGCAGCTGTGTGCCTTCAGCAGCCGGTAAGCTTTGTAAGGTTTTCCCGAGCGGTAATAACATGTAGCTAACAGGTAGAGGGCGTCTTCTGACTTCACTGATACGGGAAACAAAGAGATTAGTTCACTTAAACCGTCCTACTGTCGGAAGAAAGAGTGCAGCGAGACAGACAGACAAAAGGGTGTTACCTTCAGCGTAGAGTCTCTCAGCGAGGAAGACGGCATCCAGGTAAGCATAGTGGTTCAAAGCCTGCCATACTGCAGCCTACAGACGGGAAGTGATCACATGACCGGTCAGGTGGTAGGAATGCACTGACATGGAACATTATTTCAGGGAACCGTGAGTTATTTTTCCTGTGTTGGAAGAAGATGGCGCTGTGTGCACCAGGAGTAGAGACAGAGATAAAAGACGCCGAGTCTTAAAGGACATCAACTTCAAACCTGTCAAACAGGAACCACCACAGCGTGGTCTCAAACTGCACCGGGGGGAGTAAAATGTTTCAGGGTTTCAGGAAACAGTTCCTACAATACGGTGTTCAGGTTCTTGGTTCTCACTCACTCCAGAACAACATGGAACCAGAGCGAGGACAATAACACAAACACAACAACAAATCGTTCCCGATTCGGTGGTTCAGTGGACTCTACATGTAGGTTTCAGAGACATCACACTGACACCTGTCTGAAGAAGTGGCAGGAACATCACTGTCACCAATGACCAAACTGAACACTGTTAAAACCGGAGTAGAATTTAGCGCTGCCTGCTGCAGCCAACAGGCGACAAACGTCTCTGTTTTCAACTCTGGTCATACTCCAGGGGGCGCTGCTACTCATACAAATACTTGAGTGCTTCTACAATCTAGCCCCTACTTGGAAAACCACAAATGGTTCGCAGTTCGAGTCTTGGTGTGACGTCACACACGGAAATGGCAGCCAATCAGCTGATGGTACACTTTTAGGAACAGGAGGCAACACCTGTTTTTGGACTTTTATTGTTTTGGTTCGGATTCTGAGCAGACGTGAAAGGACCAGCGCTGGGGGTTTTTTGTGTGTGTGTTAAATATATCCACAACATAACACCGCCACTGACGCTTAGCTTAGCTTCAACGGTGCTAATAACGTACCGATGCATTTAAATATGTCTGTTATTGTGCTGCAAACTCATTAAAGATTCTGATCAAACTCATTAACCGTATGTACTGGCGTCAATCGGACCACAACAACCGGACAACATGGGTTTATGAACTGCCTCGATCTAACTTTTCAAACTGTTAACGTTGCTAACGTCGTTCAGCTACGGCGATAGCGTCAACACCAGAGCTGTTTGTTTCCAAACATAAAGCCCGTTTGCTGATTCGTGTATGCCGAAGTATAGACTAAATCAAGACGGACCAAATCTACTGACCGGATCCGATCTGTTCTCTTCACTCCCAGGCTAGATCAACGGACAGCTTAAATGAATGCGTTTATTAACAGGGTCTGGTTTTACTAGATCGACCTGTATTTTAGCTGATGTAAAAGCACAGAGCCGCTAGTCTCGTCAGACCAGTCTGGACCGGTCCGCTGTTAAAGAGGGTCACTCTCTCTTTGCTTTACCGACAGCGAAACAGACCGAACGGCCGGCGACGGCTGGAGGCCTGCGACGGAGGAAGAGCCCTCACATAGCCGATTGACTCCGTCACTGAGGCCGGGGCCTGAATACCGTGCACGGGCTTCACTGCCGCGCGGCTGTTCGGAGGGACAACCGGCTATCGGTAGTTGTTTTTTTTACCTGCACTGGTTCCTGCAGCACCGTCATTCCGCTGGAAAGTCTTCACCGGAGTCCGAAAATTTGAACACAGCGACCGTTAACGGCCGACTTCAGCCGAGTACAACCGAATTAGTGCCGCTTCTTCTGCGGTTCCGTTTCCAACAGCAAGGAGATGAATCAGTTTACTGCTGCCCCCTACTGCCCGGGATCACGTGTGGTTATAGAAATCAGCGGCTTGCTTCTTGGTATTTTCTATCATTTCCTATCACTGATGTAGTTAATAATAACTAATAAAAAAAAACTACTATTTTGACAAAGCACTACCTCTCTGAAGTTACCTCCTGGGTTTCACTTAACTGAATATTAGCATTTTCAGAGTCATTTTGATAACCTTTCCTGGTAGACTTTCAGCTTTGTTTTCTTTTGGGTAATATTACCTTATTGTTACCAATACTAATTTTTTTCCCACTAATCTCAAGTTGTGTTTATTTTTTTAAAATGACAGACAAGCAAAGGAAACTATTTTAGGATTTTATTTCCTTCATGAACCTTTTGTGATCTTCCTTTCCTTCAAACAAGCACAGATGTTTACATAGACGACGTCCAAACTGACAGTTCCATCATGGCTTCTTATTGGTTCGTGCTCGGCAGCGCCCCCAGTAGGCCGCTAGCAGTAGTAAACAGGTTGATGGGTGATGAACCGTCGGTGATGAGTGTGGACTTCAATCCCAGGGCCTGCAGCATCTTCACCTGCAGGGGGAGCAGTAAAAAAAAAAGTCAAACACACTGCAGCACTTTCTCCTAGACCGACTGCAACCATTTCTACTACAGTAGATCATCTTAAACTGCATACACTATTGAAATAGTAGCTGCCAATGTAGGGACATTTGCTGGCAATTTTTAGCTGCAGTATTTTCATAAGATTCGATAGTCAATATTTAGCTACAGTGCTAACCTAACCTCTGAGGTCAGTGCGTGACGATGGCTGCCCTCTACTTGTAGAAATGAAACATACCTGCAGTTCTGGTCCAGCTCGGGCCATTTCTTTGAGCGTGTCACTGCCCAGACTCTGGACCAGTTGACTGAAACGCTGACTCTCGATCTGAGCCAGGCGTTCCTGCTTCGTCACCTCCAGACGATCCATCTCCTTTTTATAGCTAAGTTCCTGCTCACGAGCCTTTGACAGACGCTCCAGCTCCGCCTCCTGAAGGAACACACAGTCAAAACTGTCAATGAAGCCAAGTAAGTAAGCTAAGGAACCAGGGCTACCTAAAATCTCCAGACTCAACTTCGGCTTTTAGTAATTGGTTTAAATTAAAGAAACAACTGAAGCCAAGTCAACCAGACCCAACAAAAGAAGTGAACATTTTAGTGGAGACATTTGTTCAAACTTCTAAAATTATTTAAAAAAAAATAGATGCACAAAACACTTTAATTAATTTTGAGCCAATCCCAGCAGTCAGTGGGCGGAGTCAAACCGTCCATCCGTCCAGACATTGTGACAAACAGTCATTCCCATTCACATCAATGGACAACTGTGAGTGGCCAATCACCCTGATCCCTGATCTTCTGTTCTTGGACCGTTAAAGAATGTTGGAGAAACCTCTCCTTCCCTCCACGTCCCTGACCCGCACACACACAGACACACACACACACAATAAAATGTTTTGTAAAAGTTTGTGGAAACTCACCGCCTCGATCTTCTGAGCCTCCGCCTTTAGTTTGGCCTCACTCACTGCTGCCTCACCCTGGATACGAGCCGCCTCTGCACGTGATTGGGCCTCAGCCTTAGCTGCCCCGGTGCTTTCCACTGCAGCACTGACACACACACACACACACACTTGTTATAAATGGAACATCAACCAAATTATAATAAAAGGACAATTCATGCAGCAGCTAAAGGTTAGCCGACACCATGACGGTGCTAGCTTACAGTGTGGCATAAACTAGCATAAAACCAGCCCACTTCCCAGCCCGATCAGACAGAGCTGCCAGCCGATTGGACAGCCTGGTGACTCACCTGAGGGCCTCCAGCTCCAGCAGCTCCTTCCTCGCTTTCTCAGCCTCGGCCTGGTCCGTAATTCGCTGCCTCTCCAGTTTTCCCCGTGCTTCCTGTTCCAAACGCTCTGCCTCGTGTCTGCACAGAGTAAACACACCGACAGAATCGGCCAATAAGATCTCACTCTCTTCCACACCAAACACTAAAGAAAAAACCATTCCCCACACCAAACATCATAGAAAAAAAAAACATTAATTTAACCTCAGCGTGTGTGTGTGTGTGTGTGTCACACCGTGCTGTAGCCTCCTTGGAGTTGGTGGTGATCTCAATGGCCAGTTGGACTCTCTTCTGCAGGGCGTCCCTGGTCCTCTGGTCCACGGGCTCCACCGACTGGATGTCCACACTGCTGATCACCAGGTTGTTCTGGCTGAAGCGCAGACACTCTCGCATCGCCAGCTTCTCATCGAAGCCGAACACGGCGGAGCAGATGATGCGGTTGGAGTTCTGTGGGCGGCAAACAGCAGAGGGAGAGACGTGTGGTGGACGCACGGACCCAGGCCTGATGTTTGACACAGCCGTGGTGAAACACCCACCTTGTGGAAGTCGTCAAACTGTACGGCAGCAACGGCGCCTCTGACGCGTGAGGCGATGGCTTTACAGGCGTCGCCGATGAAATCAGGAACGGAGAAGAGAGAGGCCGCCGCCGCTGCAGTAGCTGGAGGTTTGATATCGAAGTGCCTGAGGTAGAGAGAGACAGACGATGATGAGAGAGCGAGAGAGAGAGAGATAGAGAGAGAGAGAGACAGTGTGTGTGTGTGTGTGTGTGTTACCAGTTGTAGGACAGCTGTAGCTGCAGTCTTGCGTGGTCGGCCGTCTCTATGGTGATGACGTCGGTACAAAAGTCTGGTCCCAGCAGCAAACACAGAGCTTTGATCACGTTGGCTCTCTTTGGTTTGTCTCCTGACAGAGACAGGATGGTGAACTGTTCGTCAGGTCCCAGCATCACCAGCTCTGGTCCAAACACCACCCTGAACACCACACATGGGAAAACCAGAACCAGGAAAGAGGAGCAGAAATGATCACGTGTTGACGCTGCTGCAGATCTGTAACTGATTGGTCCAAACCCCCCCCCCCCCCCCCCCCCCCCCCCTCCCCC